TAACTTTTACTTAATTCAGTATCATTCTTTTTATAACCAGTTCCTTTTTTGAGAATGAAGCGTAGTACATTGAACTTATCAGTCGACTTTTTCACATTATGGCAGTATGCTTAAACCTCTGGGCTACCAAATTTACATCAAGTTTACTGTTTTACCTTGTTATAATTGTCCTACCATGTCCTTTAATCGTATCGAATACTCATGCGGATTTTAAAAAGTTGTCAGCTTATTGCTACGAGTTTAACGAATGTAATGAAGAAGAAACTTCATGATGGATGACAGCGCACTTTCAAGAGAACAAAGTTGCATCAAAGGACACTACCCGAAATATTCAGCTCAAACTGCAGATTTCCACTGGTTAAGGCGAACTATTTACAATACTTTCTGCATTCAGTGTTTATCGTAATGCTGGTATATTGACATCACAAGAGACTTGGTTGCCACGACCTATATGACGAAAATGGAGCCTCTTTAAATGATTTCAAAATGTTTAGCTAGGATCTGTTTAGTTCAGCAAAAATGTGTGATGGAGGTATAGCTACCTTTTTCAACACTCAGTAATGGCGCTCATAGAATTATGTCTGTTTTACCTTCTCTAATGACAATGTAGACTTAATCACTGTTAATTGTCTTCCAAAACATACAAGTAGGATTTCATTCACGTCACCGACGTTTTGGCACCTGGTTGCTGCTACTCTGATTTATGTAGATGCTGACAAGTTCAGTCTATTGGTAGCTCCTATAACATGTGGTTCATTGTCTATAATGTGCGGGAGTTTTAACTCTTGTGACTGCAGTTTTCTGTATTCCTTTGATTGCATAAATCTGGTCACTTTTTCAACTCCACCTTATGCCATATTAAATTTGGTCTTTCCAAATGAACTCAGCATACATATATATTCAGCACCATTACTGAACTCAGATTAACGTGTTATACGTGTTCCGACAAAAATATTTGGCAAACTACTTAAAAGTACATTTTCATATCAATTTAAGCACAGCAGCTATGCTCACGACAACATACCGAAACTCAGAAGCATGATGCAAAACACAAAATGGAACATATTTAAAAATGGTGCATTGAACGACACTGTCATCACTGTCACATGTTATTTTAAACTTTGCCTTGATATTTACTCCCCAGTTGAAATTTTTCTTCACAATTAAAAAGACTGTCAAGAACAAAGGAAAAACTGTATAAATTGAATAATAATTCTACCGTCAAACAAGTCAACTGTCTAGTTAGGTCTGAAATAAAACGCTTAAACTTAAACGATAACCAGAAGAGTATATCATGTAAAAACCCTCTTAGTACATTGAAGCTTTTTAAAAATCTTACTGGCAAAGAAGAACTCAGTAGTAAAGCCTAAGAAAACCTAGGTTAGTCAGTCATGCATAAATCTGTCAACATTATCTTATCCAAGTCTTCGCACGTAGCAGATGGCAGTTTCCTAAATTCAAGGAAACAGACGTATTCAAATGCTCGGAATCATTAAAACCTTATAGCTTAGGATCAAATGGCATGCCAGGTATTCTTCGTAGCAAATGTGCTTGATATTCTGTGTCATCCACCCACAAACCTTGTTTAATTAGTCGTCTGCCGAGAATAGGAAATTAAAATAGCTCCGATACTGAAGTCCGTATCTTCTGGAGCAAGTGTGAAATCCCGATCGATTACAATAACTGCACCATTGCCAAAACCAATGGGAGAATTTTTATTTCGCATGCTTGAACCTCTGTTGGAGGCTTTCGGTGATCCGAATGGGTTTATGTACAAACCAAGAAGAAGTACATTCGATACTGCAGTTGTTTTGCATTATAATATTGTTGTCAATCTGGACAAGGGTTACTAAGTATTTCAGATCTGCCTTTTGTTCTGTCCCAAGACCCCTTTTATTGAACAAGCTTCCTAGAACTCATATTGAGTCTTGGATTGCGACCTGGCTTCATTCTTATTTTTCCTAGAGAAAGCAACTCACTTTACATAGAGGGAAGCCATATACCTTGCGACTTAGTGAAGCAAGTGTACCTCAAGGTGCTTACCTACCCCAGCTAAAACTAATTTTCTTTAATATACGGTTGATCTAACAGTATCCATGCTGGTCTTCCTTGAATGACCTCACACTCAATCTTCCCAAATGTCAGCTTAAGACGTGAACAAAACTTATGTGAATTGCTTCAATCCCATAACTCTTGTCTTATTGGTGGCTCTGTAATATAGAATATATCAATTGTGACCTATCTTGGCTTTTTCTTTTGGATTTTTGGTCCCCTCATATCCTACTGATTGCAAGAAAAATCCTTCGCTTGACGTTTTATATCAGGAAGTGCAAACTGTCTGGCATAACTCAGCCTCTGCTCTTACTTTTTGTGAATTCCTGTGTTTCACACATACTTGCTTATTGTTGCCTTTCATTCTTTTCTTCATTCTGGAACAAGACTGCTGTGTTGCGTAGGATTTTGAAAGCTCTCAGTAGAGCAAGTGGTTTACCGTTAATCGTACTGACAAACCGGTTACAGGAAGGTGTTTTAATTCGTGTAAACAGTTGGCTACGAATATTTTATCCGATGACAAGCATCCTCTGGATCTGCGCCGTTCCCCCTGTCTGTCCTCAGGGAAGGCAAGAAGCAAATGCATCAGAATTTATGTGCGTACAGCCACATATCAGAAACCAACCATTACCTTATTTGGCTTATATGGTGTAGGGAGGAAAACGTGTGATCAACAATCTTATCAACCAATTTTGTAATAACGAACAGATATCCCAGCCTTACAGTCATTAAGTATCTAGACAACCCTTTTTATTATTATTTGTAATGTATTGTAAACCATTATCATTGTTAATATATTTGAAAAATGTACAATGAGTAAATTACCGCTGAGAATTCTGTATTGTGAACAAAATTCTGGTTCGGAAGAACGCAAATATATTATCATTATTATTTTATAATTCTTTACAAAGTTCTTCGTTGCCATATCTGTTTGCTATAAGAAACGTTTTGGTATCAGCAATCGTATCAGATGGTTAGATGTTGGTTTGGACATTTTGTGTATGCTTAACCATTCTTTACCTTCAGTTATATTTCCACAGTGGAAAGCTCACTGACACCTTTGAAGTGAAGACAGGAGTAAAACGAAGCTGCCTACTATCACCGATGCTACTGAAGCCCTATGTTCCACCAGGAACTCAAGGGAAAAATAATAATATGGTAATAATATATTTTGACCTCAGAGCTGTCGGAATTAAACATCATACTCATCCAGAAAGTCACCGATTGTTGATGTGTTACAAATGGAAATGTAGGTGTTCTGCTTAAATTATCGATGGATAAAAATCGTATATGATACAACTGGAAGGCAATTTCTGCACGCTATATGCGTTTAAACATGTACACGGCACAATAAAACCTCACGCAAAAATGTATTGGCTCAGTTCACTGCAGCTGGCAGTAGCACATAAAGAGTAAAGCTAAGAAATAGAAATATAATGGTGTTAACACTGATGGCATGACTGTAGAGAAAATAAGTAAATATAGCATATTAAGACGTCAGGGATTTTGAGAAAGATAGGATATACGCACATATATGCCATTATGATCAATTTGATTCAGATTACTTAGAAACTCAAGCCGTTAGTACCTAACGTCCTCTCCAGAGTCCTAGCCAATTCACCTACACATGTTTGAAAGGTAAAAACCAAAAGTCGGTAAACTCTTGGTTCAGTGTCATGACTTACTCTAGTCAGTCTTCGCTTTTTGCGATTCGATCCTAATTTAGGTAACATTGTAGATTAAGACAGATGATGGTTTAACAAATAATTCCCAGTTGACATCAAAAACAAGATATTCAGCGAAGGGGACTCTTTTCAACGGATTTATTCTCAAGCCGTACATCCGTGTATATATATATATAAAATACAATCCGTGGGAAAAATTAAATTGAAATATTGCGGAATTGATACTACAACAATGATTTTAAGTTTGTCTACCGAATTCGTCCAAACATCTCATGTTTTCTCCATCTTCAACTTCTGAAAATGGCAGAGGCCTTGGTTATCAATGAACTGAAGTCTGACCTTTGTGTGCAAAAGACATACGTACAGTCTTTGTCTCTAATATGGCCTTAATTTTGTTTTTCGTTTTTTACTTCTCCCTTTTGTCAAATCATTCTTTGTGCTCTTATATAGACATTATCAGTATTATTATTTCCATATTTAGTAGTTTCCGGTGTTGCTTTATTTAGTCTACCCAATGATTGCAACTTTTAACGAAAGATGTTTATCTCAATTGAATTATCTCATTTATATTGCCTAACCCTTTGATTGTTTATTAGCTCTACCATACGCCTATATAATCCATACATTCTATGGATTGATACTGGGTGATGATTGAAGGCGAAATGAACATTTGAACCGCTGCCGGATTTTTCACCTTCAACCATCACCCCAGTATCAATACTAGTCTGCCAAATCACGGCTATCTTAGATAGTCAAAATGATAACCCTATGAACTGTTTAAAAAAGGTGGTGGTTCGACATATTGGTCCATAAATTTACCAACCTTAACATCACTGACTCGGTGATTTTTTTGTTATTGATTGTTAAACTGTGAGAACTCGATAACTTTGAAGTTATTTACTGTCTTTTACTTTTTTGTGTTTAGTTACTCACATTCTTGTTTTCAGCTTCTCTGTATCATACTTTTTAAATAATCATAGTATTAAGCAACGTTATATACTACAGTTGATTTGATACTAGCTAACAGTATAAATTTTGAATCTCAGTTTCTAGTGCCATGACGATGAAGTATGTTAGATGTTCCCCGGTGGTTACTTAGTTTCAGCCACATCAATCTCACTTATTCTAAACTTTTCCATTTGCCAGGGTGAACATATAACAGCATATCTCTGATTTTTTACCTTCAGAGGTTTTTCACATCATGTATCCTAACAAATTTTATGCATATCCAATACACAAAATAACCTCTTCCTTAATTCATAGGTTCCTTACGTGATTTTATGCGACAACGCCAACCACAGTTCTGTAATCGACCAGTTGTTATGTCTGATATTTGTGCTCAAGTAGCCAATGGAATGGCTTATTTAGAACAAGAGCAGTTTGTACATCGAGATTTAGCTGCGCGAAACTGTTTAGTAAAATCAATCAGTCAAAATTCAGTTCATGTAAAAGTAGCTGACTTTGGTATGGCACGTTTCCTACTGGATAATGTATATGAACCAAGTGCTGGAACGAAATTCCCTGTTCGTTGGGCACCTCCTGAAGTATTTCAATCCACTTACACAGCCAAAGCGGATGTATGGAGTTTTGGTAAGAATATAAAGTCTGTAAAAGTGTTTACATCATTTGATGTTTATATGTTACATAAGTTTATGCATCGATTTGTTCAAGAAATATTTTACAAGTAACCTCTTAAAGTGAAAAACCATTTTTACGGTCTTATTTTTACGATTATTGCTTGTTATAGAACGGAAAATGGTAAGTAACTCAGAAAACATTTACAGTTTTGTGTCCTATACCGTGAACTATGCATATTGTGCACGTGGACAAAAAGGTGCTATCCAACTTTCTAGGTCTCGATAGGTGAAATGATGCTCGACACTGGTTACCCAAATCATTACATCAATTGAATGTGTTTTGTGCACATATGTCCTTTATATTTATAAAGTCAATAAATCCATGTATTTCTTCTACCTATTACTAAACCCTATGGCTTTAGTTATTTAAAAACTAGTTGAAAATTCTTCATCTATGGACTAGTTTCACTCACATATTCCTGTTATTTTTGATAATAAAAAAGAGCCATTACTCTAAATCACATTGTGTAAGCATAAATTGAATTGCGCTTATTTGATGTTGAATGTTTTTGTCTTTAAAAAAATTTATATGTTGATCACATCTGAAATGTTGATTGTTTCTTCTCTACCTGTTACACAGAAAAGCTCCAGCAAGAAGTTAGTCTTCATACATGGAGACTTAATGTTACTTAAGATTGATGTTATCAGTGGAGGCTTTTTGTAGTATGTGTTGTCTGCTTTGTTCCTGTATATCTGTATGCGTGTATGTGTTTTACTGCTTACCACAATCCTTTTTTCTAGGTAGTTTAATGTGAAATTGAAGTCTGAAGTTTATGAGACTGGATATCATCTGACTTTGATATTCTACTGCTATCCGAAGTTTTTCATTGGTTAATAGCTATTATTATTATTATTATTATTATTATTATTATTATTGATCCGCTTATTGTCTTGATCGTACAAATTATGTTAACTGTGACGAAAATGTCATAAACAAACTGTTATTATTTGAGATGCTTGATACTCAAGCAAATCCTGGTTTACCTTTATATTACTCTGTGTTGTTTAGAGTCAAAATATTAGCGTAGCTGACATAAATATCATCATATTACACCGATCTTGTGTATTTATACGCATTTTATGTACTGATTGATATGTCTATACTAGTAGTATTTATCTTACACAATGGCCAATTCTACAGCAAATCCTATTGGAGGCTTCCTATTGAGAGCCGTTGTTCATTGACTGGGGTAATCGAATTTAAACTAGTACTTTGCAAAAGCCAACCTTACCGCGTACACCTAGGTCTAGGCAGTGAAGCAGTAACACTACATTAAATGTGGCGTATTCGCTATTGCATTGATTTATAACTAGTTCCTGAGCTACTTTTTTCAAGTTCATTACCGATTGTCTTTTTTCCTTCTTTGAGTATATTCAATTGATTGAAATCTCGAAGGTATTTAGGAAAATATAACTACTGTCAGATTATACGGATTTAAATGAGGTTGACATTTTTACAAAGGTTTACGTTGCTGTTAGTCACAAGCAACTCTAAGATCACTAACCGATGAGAAGTTAAAGAAAAAAAGATGTATTATCAAATGAGTTATATTTGATTGAAGAACTATGTTAAAAATTATTTGAATAGAGCAGAAACAACAGCTTTAGCAGGATAGCATTGATCCATTTTATTTCACAGTTTCTCATCATCTGCTAAAGTCATTTTTGCTCTATTTAAATTTGGGAAGGGAAAGAATTGTATAAAAAATTATTTGCTTCACTGCCAAATATTGTTATGTTTTCAAATATATACATCCTTTTGTCAACTATACTCAGTGTTCAGTCGTGCAATTTGATTTATCGAATTCATTTATGATTATTTACATCTCTATGATGTGAATTCATTTTGTGTGCTCTAAACTTAAAATTGTGTACAGTAAACTGTCAGTGTCCAGCGTAAGTTATTTGGTACACTTCAATAGTTAACTAAACACCAAATACATCTTTCAGACTTAAACATCAATACATATGTATGGGAACAAAGATGAATGACAAAGTTCACAATCTAAACAACCAACAATTCACAATAAGTCAGACTAAAAATCGATAAGTAAACACAAAGTCCAACATGAAAATAGTACAGGAATGTGATTACAGCTCAAGATTGTAAGAATTCTGATGAAAGGGGTAAAACAAAGTTGGTGTTCAATGTGTTGTATGAATTAATGGTAGAGAAACGGAAAAGGATGTGCTAAGAAACATGATTAAGATGAATTAAAGTAAATCAAAAATTACAGGAATATGAATAATGCTTGAGAATGATATGTAAGACAATAAGATGAAAGAATAACATAGTGAATAAAGCTGTAGGAAAAAGAGCTCACCAATGTCATCCAAGGTGAACCACAAACTCCTTATGTATATATAAGTCTGGTTTCAATCGATGGATTGCTGCTGCTTCTGCATAACAGCAGCCTACTTTTTATTTCACATCTATTTGTTGACATGTAATTCTCCGCTGTTATACTGGATCGAATTGTTCGACCTCTGTTAGCATATAGGCTCTTATGCGGATACCTTGATATTGCCTGAATATTTACTGAGGTAATTCCTTGGTTGTGGCTAGCAGAGGAATTCATGACGCGCGTTTCGTCCTATTTGGGATTTGTCAGCTGGATGTACCTGCACCCCACTGAGTGATGTTGTTCCCACTGAGACTCGAACCTCGTACCCATCACTTCAAACGCCAAAGTATTATCCACTAGGCCGCTGAGGCACGGTAGCCACCTCTTGTACAACGAGTATTAGTTATAACTATTTGTTGATGTACTTGTAATTCTCCGTTGTTATACTGGATCGAATTGTTTGACCTTTGTTGACATATGGGCTCCTATGCGGATCCCTCGATATTGCCTGGACATTTTATCATTGTAATTTACTTGGTTTTGGCTGACAGAAGCTTTTCGGTACATGTTCATGAAATCTCGATGATAACGTCTCTGTATGCGTTAAACAATGAAGTCGCAGGCTTAAATTTCGTTGATTTTGTTATCTAACACACTTAAGGAGCCATATCTTTTCTGTACTTGTTATCACTTATAAGCTATGAATTACTCTTATTTTATGTGGAATTGTATACATTTAAAGATGAGACTTCAATTTTTATGCGCCTAAAATGACATATTCACTATTGTCCCTTACGTTGCTGACATGAAAACAATATCACGCCTAATCACCGAGTTAAAATGCGACTGGTACTTTTCATAATTATAAAATAATTTCGTGTTATAACGTGAATAAATTACATACAGCCTGACTATATTTTTATCACTGATGACAGCAATGTCTAGATGAACTGAATGGCTGCATTATCTGAAACTTTGTTTACTGAGAAAAAGCGAGTTGATTTGCTCCTGAAGATGTGTGGACAGTTGGGGGACAGATAGAGAGATCCAAGTTGCTACACTACACAGTAAAGCAAAGACAAGACCTAGAGAAGTAGAAAAGTAAGCAAAGAAAGCGTGACAAGAAGAGGGAAATAAGCTGTCCATATTTTATAAGATCGTGGAAAAAAAGATAAAGTCAGAGAGTTGTGCAAAAGTCCAATGATTCAGTTCACCATATCTGTGCTATCATAATCGATTTTGAACCGTATCAGCGAAATTCTCTAACGGTTAATTCCTAACCTCTAAATGATCTCAGCCAGGTAACTCACATGACTGATACCAACAAGCAATCAGAAAACTCGTCTAACTTCACAAACAAATGAAGTTCTCGGTATGTTTAACCACTTCACCCCCTAATTAGGTAGTTGTCTGCACTGACTAATCCCCTGGCATCATCCTACATTTGCCAAGTGAGAAGTTGAAGTACAGCTATTTAGCGCAAAGGTTTAATTGTTCGGCCAGCGACTATTAGGTCATAGGTTCGAGCCTTTCCTCACCTTTTGAAGTTTAGACAACTAGGCATTAGCCATCACATAGATGTGAGCCATGGCGTAGTACGAAATACTGTTTGTAGTTATTAATTTACATCATTCTTTATAATAGTAGAAATGCACTAAAGAAAACATTTGAAATCTAGGCTCAGAGATATTCATTTCCTGATTCTCAGCTTATTAGCAAACTGTGTGGTAGCTTTTTTTGTACCCACTGTTTATTGATCAGCCTTTTTTATCATCTGTTTCCTACTTAATTTTTGATGAAATGCAACACTTTCCCCATCTTCTTCATCCTGTTTTTGATATCCAGTCCATTGATCATCATATACCAAAATATACACATTATGTGTATATGTGCTGGAAGGCAGTACATCTACTGAAAAAATCTTTTATACCATTTTTGGAGTCACTTTTTATCTCTTTTTCTCTACATTCCTATCTGTTGCTACTGCTTGGACGTTTTTGTTCTTCATTTATTTTTTCGAGTCAAACTTAAATGGATTGTTTTCCCACATTACAGTAGTTCGTGTGTATTTATGTATTCCTACTTACACACATACATATCTGCATTCAGTGTAATGTTGTTATCAATTTTATTTATCACTATTTGTCTCCTTTTTGTTCACATAAAATACATCAACTGCCTCATAATTTATTGTAAACAAAATAGAGAAGTAGTTCCAATAATGAGGTTGTTTTTTTTTGAAAGGTTCAAATAGGTGAAAAAAAACTTTCGGGCTTATGTATAGAAAATTTAAATGACTGCCAATTAAACTAATTGACATACCACAACATTGTGACAGTAAAATGTCCAAGTGTTGAATGTATAGACAAATCAGTGGTCTAATTTTTCATTCAACATATAACCTTGGATTAGTTTGTTCACAAAAGAAAGCTTTATCTTGTGTGTATGGTTCGTAGATGAAAAGTATTGTCAACAAAAATAGAAATGAATAAAGATGAATAGGCTGTACTAAAAGAGGAAGTCGCTTTGACAGCAGTTCCGAGTTAGTTCATTTTACTCTGACCATTAATCACTGTTACCGTACATTTTCTTATTAATAACTACACAT